TTCATTGACCCGTGACCCGTTTTAACCCAACCCGTTTTGACCCGTTACCCGTTCTGACCCGACCCTAACCCGACCCAACCCGCCCGTTTGCCAGGTCTAATGGTTAACTATGCTACATTTTCTTGTGGGGTAAGAAATTCTTAGTTTATACAATGATCATCATCTAAGGGGATAGACCCTGATGTTTAGATTTAGGATAATAATTCATGCACCTACCGGTTCAACATCCGGTGGGGGCACACTTTTTAAAATGAATAATTGTAAAAATAAAATTATAAATTTACCATTAAGGCCATTTTTTTTTCCCCACAATACCCATTTTTCTTTTTGTCTCTCCATCTTCCTCTTCAACCGTTCAACACCAATTTCTCAACTTTCTTCCCCCTCCCTCTCTTTCTACCTATTGAAGCAAACAAGTTCTTTAATACATGGGTTTGTGAAAAACCTAGTGCCAAATAAGAGGAATAGCAAGCCACAAACCAACAAAGAAAATGGGACCACAAAAAAAAAAAAAAAATATATATATATATATCATAAATGAGTTACTGTTTTAAATACAAAATTAGAACCTACAAATCTTCAAATGAAAAATTGACCGTTCAAAATGTAGATCAATGTCTCTTGAACACCCAGACAAAATTTTAGCTCAATCCAACAGTGAAATTTTACAAATTGGACAAAATAGCAAAACTGCATACAGTATCAAAACTGCAGAAATTTCCCCTGTTTTCTTTTCTCTTTTCCGCCGATTGACTCCACTTACATGCACTCCACTTTTTGCTATATCATCCCAAAAACAGACTTGTTTTATGTGTCTAATGGATTACAAACTCTTGAGCTAAATTAAGGATGATTTTATGAGAAAACGAATTCTTTCTCAAAATTTGGTGTTGTCATTTGGGAAATTAATTTCCACTAATTCAGTGTTGCTATCATTTAGGAAACTTACTCAAGATTCTGATTTGATGCTTGAATGCTTGATTGAGCTTTGCTGGGATTCAAATGATTTGTTCTTGCTGTCATTTAGGAAATGGGTTTTGTGAGGAAGATGGTTTAAGGGTAAATTTGTAATTTTACTTTTACAATTATTTGATTTTTGGAGTGTGCACTCGTCGGGTATCGATAGGTGCATGAATCATTATCCTTAGACTTATTCTTCTATTTATTAATTTTTATTTTATAGTTATTATGATTTAAAATGTAAAATAAAAGAATTCTTAATAAATTAAGTTCATACATACATTTCTATGGGAATTTCTTTGAGTGTGTGTGTATATATATATATATTTTGTATTAACCTCCCGGTATCTGATAATTACATTGAATCTCGATTAATCTGGAATCGAGTCGCGTCGGACCCCATTAAAGGGAAAGCCCTCCCAATGCCTGTTTCTCCATTCACAAAAATCAAATTCAAAACTTTACTTAAGGGAAACCGAACTTCTTTCATTTGGATCAACAGGTTGTTGGTATTTCTTTGAGTGTATATACACATAGAAGAATTTTGCATTCCATTAACAAAATGCATTTATTTAGTAATACAACAACGTTAAACATGGTGAAACAAACCCCCATACATTTATTTAGCCGTATTTAGCCCTTATTTTTCCTCCTAATTAATTCCCTTAGTTGAAGTTCATTTGATATTTAGGCTGCTTGTTTGGAGAAAACAGCCCCCAGTGTTTTTCCACCTCCTCTCCCCCCTTATTATTCTCATCAAACATGGCAAAAATGTATGTCTCAATGGGCTTTCCTTGCTTCTTCGGAGTCCCTCCCTTCACATGCTGAACCAATTTGTTGTTATAAGTCCTCGCATTTTCAACCGTCGTATCCCTTCCACCCGCAGTAGGCCAGCCGCTTTCTGACACCACAATCTCTAAATTACCCCCACCGGACTTCTCAAGGGCTGCGTAGACGGTGTCTAGTAGTGCGTCAAAAAGATTACTGTATTGTAGTGGTGGATCTGATACCACTGGTGAGGTAGCCGTGAAGAGGGCGTAATCGAGATGAATGTCAGTGTTGCGAGCATAACTAAAGTAAGGGTACAAGTTAACGAGCAATGGAGCTTGATTTTTCACCAAGAAACCGATTAAGGGATCAAGAATAGGCTTATATTCGGCCTTGAAAGATCCCTTTGACGGAGGAAAAGATGCATCGTCAAGGACCCCGGTGTCAATAGCCGTGGACACTTTGATTCCAAGCCCGGCTCCTGCGAGTGCATTTTGGATGTTTTGCATGGCGGGGACTAGAAACTGTGCAAAAGAATCCGTGGGTTTAACTTCGTTCCCTACAGCGATGTAGCGGAACTTGACATCTGGGTAGTTCTTGACGTTGTCTTGAACCCAACCATCGGCA